CAGCAATCTTACTGGAAACAGAAGACTTTTCTTTGATACTTAAGTGTGAGAACTTGGTGATGTTCCTGGAAGTAAAACTTAGAAATGTGTAGGGACGCCCTAATGACTGGGCCGATCTAGAGATTTTTGACCTTCAGATTTGTCTGGTGTGAGCCTCTAGCAATTAACGAGTTCTGGTGCTTTTTTCTTTACGCTGGCACTGGTTCCTGTAGAGATTTTTGCTTATGAGTTTCTGCTTCAGTACATTGAGTTTCTCTGTATTTCCCTGTCTTTTCAGTTTGAGTGCAGTAGTTTGCCTTGTCATGTTACTTCTCTTAGAAATCTAAGAATTGTTAATTTTCTGGTTTTTTCTTTTTGTTGATCATCTTATGTCTTACATAAGCTCCTTACATACTAGACCAGAAATAAGTCTGTATTTTATATGTGAAAAAAATACATAAATGAAAAAAGGTTTTAAAACTGGTATTTCTCAAGTAGGTGAAACTATGTAATAGGGGTATAAAATCTAAAAGTACAAATTATCTTATCTGGCAAAGGCAAATAGATGCATATGTTATAATACACAAAATGAAATGATCTTCACTGTAGTAATCTTTGCTAGAGATATACTAAACAGTTATTTGCGTATATTTCTTTTTTTATTTTTTACAGTGCCAGGGGTCAAACCCAGGGCTTCTGAATGCTTTGCAGATGCTGTACCACTTACGTTATATTCTTAGCTATTGAGCATATTTCTATTAAGTCAATTAGCTAGCTTAGTTATATGTAGGAGACCATTAAAAAATTTGGGATATAAGACTTATGAGGAGGTATAATAAGGGAATTCATGATATTTTAAAGAAAGGAAAAAGAAAATCTGAGAAAGTATTTAAGCATTAAGGTGTTGCATTATTTATTATAATCGTCTGTTTGAAAAAGCTTACAAATAAGGCTGAAATCCATGTTTGGATTTCTGATTCTGAGTCAGTGAGTCTGGCATGGATAGGACATCTGCAGTTTTTTCTTTTGTTTTTGTTTTTAAAGCTCCATGGATACTTGTGGTACAGACTAGAATTGAGAAATACCATAGTCTGCATAGTAGTATTCCTAGTGAGTCAGATGGTAGATAAGAAGTGTATTCATTACTGTGTGTGAAGAGAGATGCCATTTTAAAGCAGTTACATCTTGAGACCTGTGGTGAGTTAGGAAATACCTTGACACTTTGCTCTGATTCTATACTGCTTTCAGAGGAAGGGCTGTGAAACTGGAAATATGTATTTGGAAAAATTTGAAATGAAACTGAAATTCTAGGTTTGAGTACAATGTTTTCCTTTCCTAGCAATTTGTCACTAAACATGAGAACCAGACTCACAGTAGAAAAGACTATGTAAGTTTAATTATGACTTTAAGAAGTCTAAACTTCAGGTGATCACACTGATCAGGTGAAGAAGGCAGGTGACATTTTGTGGATTAGAAAACTACAGCACATATAAATTGTTTTAACTATCACACATCACTTTATGTCTTTCCATTTTTTTTTCTCCTGGCAATTTGCTGCTTATAACAATTTCATTCATTCACTTACATTGCTGGGGATTGGACCCAGGGCCTTGAATATGCTAGGCAAGTGCTGTACCACTGATATCCTGGCCCCAAATTTTACTTTGTTAATAGGTTATATGATCTTCAATAAGATAAATGTGTGCTACCCCTCTTATTGGCCAGTTTCATTTATTCATTACAACTGTGAAATTACAGATGAAGAAAACAAAACTAATACTAAGTGATTTGTTTATATTTACACAAAATAAGTAATAGTATTGATCCTATTCTAAAACTCATCCTCTATTTACTTCACAAATGCTTTCATTAGTATTCTTTAACCATAGTACAGTGGTGTTCTTATTTTAACTTTGTTACTGAAGAATAATCACAAATGTCTCTGTTAGACTTATGCCATTTAAAGGAAGAAAATCATCCACTGACCTTTTGTTTACAAAGTAGTAAGGTAGCATGGAGTACTGACACCATGAAGGCTTGCTAGTATACTTTAAAAGGTATGGCGTAGGTACTATGTTTGCTAAAAATATAAGAATGAGATCAAGGATTTTTTTTTTTTTTTTTTTTTTGGGTTTTTCTCCGGCACCGGGAACCGAACTCATGACCTTGCGCTTGCCAGGCAGGCGCTTTTGCCGCTGAGCTAAATCCCCAGCCCCTGAGCTAAATCCCCAGCCCCGAGATCAAGGAATTATTAACAGAAATTACTGTTGTTCTAGATGGATTAAAATTATGCTCTTGGGTTTACCTTTTCTACTGAAGCAGGGGAAACAATTGGCCTTTAAAAATCTTTCTTGGTTTGGCAGTAGAATATCTGCTCAAAGAAAGTTACTTTCATAAATATAGTTAAATGCATAATATTGTGGGATAATTTATTAGTCACTTAAGAGTTCATGGAAAATTTAGTACTCATATTTTTCTTTAAACTTTTCAGGATATAAATGTACATTTTCAGAAACTATACAGGATGTCAAAGTTCTCCATTTGTTTTCTATTTTATATGTACTCTATAAAACCTTCCATTCCTAAGTTGGGAATTAAAATATGTCACATTTTGTAGAGATTAAAATAATGCCCTGACTTTGTTTTCACTGATAGGAATTGATAAATGATACTCTGGGAAAATCTATGATCTTCAAAATCTTACTACTCTTAATAATTTGCTAAGTATATACCAGTCTTGATATTACTACGTTATGCATAAAAGCAGAGGTGTCAATATGTATGTCAGCCATTTTCAAAACTCACAGTGGTGGTGACAGCCGTGAAAAGCTGTTCAGGAGCTATATTTTCAGACTTACCATTGGCTGGTCCCATTGGTTGCTTCTTTTACTACATTTTTATTTTACCGTGCTGACAATCCCAGAAGCCAGAATAAACTGTACGAGAAAAACCGTTGCTGTTATTATAATAGCAATGTGACAAATGACTGGAAGGTAAAATAAATAGGCTACAAATGTAGATTTGTGAATTTTAAGAGCTTTAATGTACCCTAGAGATGGTTTGCATCAATCTGCTGATAAAGGCAGGACTAGAATATCTTTCTGTTATCCTATACTTTCTGTTTTTCAAAAAAATGTGCTAATATTAGACCTGAGAAGGTATATCTGGATATAAGCAAGTCTCTTAGATTTTGAAAGAGCTTATTTATTCATAAATATTTCTTTAGGTTTACTGTGTGCCATATAACTTTTCCAGGCTCTGAGGGTAAAGAGATCACATTGTCATGTTCCTGTTGTCCTAAAGGATACCTAGCCTGTAGGAGTGCTTGCCTTTAGACAGTCATACAGTTCAATCACAGAATGTACCATGGAAAGAAAGAAAGTAGCTACAGAACCCAGTATTACTATGTAATAAATAAATAAGGAGAAAGAGAAAAGAGTGGTGTGGGCATGTTGAAACAGTGTAAGAAATGCTTGCATCTTGAATAAGAACTCATATTTTGAAAATATTTCCTTTCAAGCAGTATTTTTACTTACAAAATTCTTTTCTACTTTAGGGTATCTGTGGATTGAACTGCTAGATTATTTTTGTATTTCAATTGTTAGACTTAGAGATTCCCAAGGATAAGGATTATGATTCCAATCCTTAATATCTGTTAAAGTTCTCAAATAAAAAGCAAAATAAGGAATGGGTCAAGGAATTGCATTCTGTTACTTGCCACCTGTACCTCCTAGGAGCTACAGCATGGGAAAACATGGTTAGGGTATTTAATGCAACCACTTCTGCTTTGTTTCCCCTGTAATTTACCTAAGAATCTCAAATTTTTAATCAATGGGAAATAGGAGCTGGAAAGAAACTATCTATGGAGACGTGGGAAAGAGAAAGACTTGACATGTGGCTTTTTGTTCGGTTGTGTGGAGTAGCATGGAAACAGGATCTCAGTTCTGTCTCTCTGGTAGTAATGGTGTCAGTGAGACAGCTGTTGTAGCATAATGAAGTAAACCCACAATGCTGTGTCTGATTCCTTTCTGCTACTTTTCTCCACTTTGAAAATACACTAAAAGAAACTGACTTTGTTCCTGGTTTAAAGGTTAGTATAGGGCTGGGGATTTAGCTCAGCGGCAAAAGCGCCTGCCTGGCAAGCGCAAGGTCGTGAGTTCGGTTCCCGGTACTGGAGAAAAACCAAAAAACCAAAAAAAAAAAAAAACAAACAAAAAAAAATAAAGGTTAGTATAACCAAAGCTGTAATGAAGAGTTTGTGCTTTGCATTGCCCATGCATACTCCTGCTCTCCACAGAACCATTTAGCTGATTCTGGTCATGTTACTAACTTTAAATAGAATGTGTTGCCAGTGTTTCTGAATTTACCAACTTTAGAAATTATCTGTTGAGTTTCTGCATTGATAAATGAATAGTTGCTTCATATCTCTCCTCTGCTCCCATTGTGGTCAACATTTTTACCTCCTCTGTTGATTACTTACATAAATTTCAAAAATCATAGTTAATTCAGTATTTCTTGGTCTTTACATACTGGCTCTTGTTCCCCTCTACCTTTGAAAACAAGCATATTAACCCATTACTTTTCCCATACTTACTTACTTTTTCTTTCTCCTTTTCCCAACTACATCATATCTACGTAGTATAAACTTTGCATTTGATTCTAAAAATTGAAAATGAATGAACAGTATATATTGTGACTTAGTTTTTCTATTACGGCTGTTTTTGGAGGGTGGGTATTTTCTTGAACACATTTACTTCTACCAAAGAATACATTAAAAAAATTCGAAACACTCAAGTTCTATTCCTTTCCTTTCAATGTCATCCAGTTTAAATTCTAGAAGCAGATTCTTACATGAACAATACATAAAGCTAATGGCTTTTATAATTGATGCATAAATGCAAATTTATAGGAACCAGTAATTTATAAAATTGAATGCTGGACTTCTCTCTCTACTTATAAAACTGACTTTTCTGCATGTACACTATTTTAGAAACATGTCAGTTTAGCTGACATAATGAATATATTGTTAAGTCCTGATAATGACTACCATTTGAGTATAGTTACATGGTTTAATTTTCACTGCAGTTGTGTATGTTGTGTAAGAAAGTTTTATTTACATTTTATAGTTTAGAAAGTTGAGAGATGTAGTAGTCCGTCTCCTCCCCAACAAATAATGACAGAACTGGTGTAGGAACTAACTTGAAAGTAGAGATCTTCAACTCTCCTTGTGCCTCAGCTCTTCTTGTGATACCTAAAATAAAAAGTAGCCTACTCAGATTTGTGTTTATGAAATTTAGAGTAGGGCTGGACTTCAGACATACTACCATGGTTAAGGACTGCTTGCTCAATTATTTATGTTCTTCTTTCATGCTAATATATCATGACCATGTATATGCAGCATTCATTCTTTTAAAACTTAACTTTAAGCTTTTTGATATGCAGAAGCAGCAGTTTATTATGAACTCTTCCCCTACTCCTTTTGGTACCATTTTGATGACAGGATCTTTCAAAGGATAGGATCTTTGGCATTGGCTGCAGTTTTATAATACCTTCTATCCAAAGAAAAAGGGAGTGAAATCAATAACTTTGAGGAAAGTGACAGTAAAATATTTATTGCATCTAAAAGCAATATTCCAAAATGACATTAGCCTACTTGTATATTTGTTTGCTGATTTGGGCAAAGTTCAGTGCTTTGTAGATTAATTACCTTTCTTCCTCTTTTTGTATTTTAAGAGAAGGAAAATGACTTGGACCAGAATAAAATGTATTAATTTTACATTGTCTTGTTTTTGTATATTACTGATTTTAACACTTCATTTTTTTCTAGAAGTAACAATTTTCTTATTTCTTATAGACCTGTAATCTATGAAACTTGATGTGTAAAAAACCTAAATTGAAATCTCAACTTTACTAAGTGGCCTGTGTGGAATAATAGTAGGTCATTAGAATATTGGTCTTTTATATAACTAAAACTCAGTTTAAACAAAAATAAAAATACATATACCAAGCACTCCTTAATGGAATTGCTAACAGCTTTGGTCGTCCTGGAGTAGAATGTTACTGCCAGCATGACAGCGGAGCTGCAGTAATCCAGCTCCAGTTCCTGATTAATGAGGTTAGTGAATTGTTTTATTCTCTCCCACTTATATCTGAAATTGGGCTGCAGATCTCTTGCATGCATTGATATTTCAATATTTGGACAAAAAATAATTTCTTATGGGTCCGAGATAACAGTAATTCATTTTAAGGCATCGTCATAGGTAGTCGTATCATGTATTTTTTCAAAGCAGGGTTGTGAATAAAGTGGCATAAGGTAAATATTTTTGGTACCAGTTGATGCATTTCAGTTTTATCTGGGAGTTTTAAAGTTATGTAACATAGGGAACTCTATATGAAATATTCTAAACATACTGAGTTTATTATGAATAACACAATTACTTTAATGAATTACTTTCTTTTTCACTCTCTTGCTCTTTCCCTTGCTGTCTCTTTATTCTTTCCAGTCTTGATGCTAGGGGTCAAACCTAGGGCCTCATGAATTTTTAATGCTAGGCAAACACTGTAGCACAAAGCTATAGCCCCAGCCAACTCTAGTGAATTGCTTTAAAGTGCAAATAGGAATCCAACTTTATTTTTTTTTTTTTATCATTTATTTATTTATTGTCTTTTTTTATTTTTGAGACAGGGTCTCACTATGCAGTTCAGGCTGGCCTTGAGCTCACATTGTAACCCAGGCTGGTCCAACTTTATTTTTAAAGTGATGATTGCAAGTTTTGTCACTTATTGGTGGAGGTAATTGATGATGCCTTTCTTCTTGGTATGAGTATAAAGTAAAAAAGAGCTGGAGAAAACACTTTTTATTAGCACAGGAAATGCTGTGGTGGCAGATTTTTAAAAACTATGAGCAGCTCTGAGAATAGATCTTTACTGCAAGTAGTGACAGACAAGGAAAGCTGATCAGAGAAATAAGGAAGGAAGTTACAGGACTCTTGAAAAGGCTCTGAAATCCTTAGATAAGAGAATAGTTTTTGAACATGCTTTTTTTCACTAAATGCTTAGGATCCATGGAATAAATTCTTATATATAAGAGTAAATAAATTACTGAGTACCTCTTGTTTTTGATAAATATTCATAGCAGAATTTATGTATTTAAGAGAATTTAAGTCATCATGGGAATAAAATTCTAAAGATTATAATATAAAAACTACCTTCTAAATGATTTGTGACTGTAGGTTTTTCAGGGTCAGAGTATAGAGAAGTGGATGCTTTGTAGTAAAAAAGGAGAGCGTGTGGACTTTATGTATTTCAGTTTTGCATAGTCATGCTATAGCAATAGGAGCTACACAAAACAGTAGCTCTCAGAATTTTGAAAATGGAAAGGAGTGGGAGAGATCATTTCATGTAAATCTTAACAGCTGTTTTAATACTCCCAGAGAGATGAGGAAGGAGAAGATTTTAGGATTTCTCATAATATACAGATTTGGGATTGCAGGCCTTTTTCGAAATAAATATAAATTCTTTAGGTTATATCTCTTGTCTTAATCCTCTTAGTATTGATAAAGGATATCTGACTCCTTTGAGGAAAAACATTTAGATGCCTTAATAAATTAGTCTTTAGCCTAGAAAGTATTAATCTTGTTTACACATCATGCACCTCAGAAGTTTTTTTAAAAAGTGCACTTATGTAGGTCCTTGTTCAGTAGATTCTGATTTTTTTGGCGGGGGAGCTGATCTGGGATGAGACTAAGCCTACTAGATGATTTTCACATACTGCAAGGCATTTTCTTCCTCGTAAATAATAGCACTTAGTAGCAACAGATGTTTTAACTTTCTAATTTAATCACTCAGATACTGAAGTTACAGTGTGCTGAATGTCCTTATTTTCCATACCATTCTAGCATTGGATTATGATTAAGTATAGTACTTTCATAAGGATTTGCCTTAAGCAAAATGAATGAGGCTGCTTTGTATCATACTTTGATCTATTAATCATGGAAGTATTTACAGTATTGAAAGATTAATTTATAGTCTAATCTCTAATTTTAAATAACTAAGATCCTCACTGGAAAATAATTTAAAAAGTGCAGATCCTTGTTCAGTAGATTGTGATTTTTTTTTTTTTTTTTGGGGTCTGGGATGAGACTGAGCTAACTAGATGATTTTCACATCCTCACTGGATCCTAGTATACTTTTGACTTATAAGATTCTAAATTATACTTTAAATTACTGAAGAATTTAAACATAAATTTACATAGATACGCACATAATAAACTCTTAACATTTGCTGTTTAGAAATTGGGTAGGGTAAATATTCCTTAGAATTAAATCTATTGACAGAAAGCTTCCAAATTTGAGACTTTTTGGTAGTCATTAATAGCATTAATGTTTGTATAGTGATGTTATGTATAATATCTACTTTATTTTTAAGGGAGCTCTTGTGAGTGCCTTGGCTGATGACACCTTACACTTATGGAATTTACGTCAAAAGAGGCCTGCCATACTACATTCACTTAAATTTTGCAGAGAAAGGTAAGAATTCTCTCATTCTATGTAGAATACTTGTTTTTTTATTTTGGTGCATTTTTCTTTAAATTTTGTTCTTTGATTTTTTTGTGATAAACTTTATGTGCAATCTAAAAACTTTTAAAACTTTAAAGGGTATACAGTAAAAGCAAGATTCTTCCAAGACCCGTCTTTTTTCCAGAGGCAACCACATACATTTCTTTTATTTCCTTCTAGAAATAAATACAGCCTCTGTATAAAAGCAGAAATTCCTGCATAGCTCTTCCTTTGTACATAAGTGAAGCCACTGCATAGTTGTTCTTTAAGTTTTTTCACTTCAAAGTGTGTCTGATAGATCATCTAATATCAGTACATCAAATCTGGTATAGTTACTTTTTATAACTACATAGTATTTTGTTGTATAGACATACCATAATTTATTTAGTCCATCTTTATTAGTGGACATTTATTTCATTTTGTTTTATTGTAGGATTATGTTGAGTATATGTCTGTCCACATACCAAGTATGTCTACAAGATAAATTTGTAAAAGTCAAGCAGAAATTTCTTCTAATTCAATTTGTGAACTTTGGTTATTGATTAAAAGTCCCCCTTTTTTTTGAGACAGGGTCTCACTACATAGATCAGGCCAGCCTTGAACTCCTTATGTAGCCCATAGTGTAACTGGCCTCAGATTCATGGCGATACTCCTACCTTAGCCTTCCAAGTTCTGGGATTAGAGACATGTGCCACCCAATCCAGCTTAAAAGGCCTTTCTTACTCCAATTTTAAAAAAAGTATTATCTTCCATGTTCTTGTATGAAGTGTGATTAAAAAATAAAAAGAGTATTCACTAGCCATATTTCAAATTTTTATGTATGCTTCACATTTATATAGTCAGTATTAAAGGCATAGTCTATTTTTTTTTCCAGCCAAGCACTAGGCCATGTTTCTGGTTTAAGATGTGTAAGTTAGTCTTCAGGTTGTACACACAGGTGAGTCTGTGGATCAGAGGTTCTCCTCCCATGGTTCTCCAAATTGTCAAGCTAATTATCAAGGCCACAGGTAATACAACAGTTCAGACTTTTCCAGCCAGTGCCAGGGAGTGTCTAGACAAGGGGGTGGGATGTGGAGGGTGGGCATTGGAGAGCATACCTGGCAGTCAGTGGGCATTTGCTGTTGGTCTCTCTCTTATGTGGGAAGATAAATCATCTGAGTGACTTCAGCTGAATCATGTTTCTATTTCTAGAAGTGCAGAAGTGAATGAGAAGTTAGGAGAAAAGAGTTGGGTAGGGGAAGAAGAGCAAGCAAAAATTTAAGGTTCAGTTGTTTTCTACATCCTGGGAATCAGGCCAGCCTCTCAGCTCTGGGCAGAGTTTCCAGTTTGTTTGCCAATGGGATCTCAGGGGAAGCTGTGAAAGGTTCAAATGCCAAGGAGCACATGGAGATGGAAATGGGCCTCTTGGTCCTAGAATATACCTCTTGTACCACCTGCTGGACATGTAACTGGGTATCTAACAGAGTAGTTGTTAAACTGGTGTGATTTTGGACCCCTGGAGAGCATTTGGCAGTGTCTGGAGACATTTTTCATTATCTCAAGCGTGGGAGGGCATCTAGTAGGCAAAGGCCAGGAATTTTGCCACATATGCCACAATGCACTGTGTGGTGCCCACAGCAAAGAATTGTCTGGTTCAGAATATCAATAGCACCAAAGTTAAGAAGCCCTGGACTTTACCACATCAGAATGATGTTATTTGGTTAGTGAAGTGCTGTAGAAGTTCTCTTAAACAGTGTTCAATGGAGAGATTCTGCCAGGAACTGGAATCCTGGCAAAAGAATTCTCTTTGCTACTTTGTTAGCCAGTGACCTGTCCTGATAACCCACTGAGCACCAGAATGTGGAAGTATGGGTTCTAAGTTCACAAACAAAGTCACTGTAGGTAGTCATGGTAAATTTTCATAGGGAAAGGATCAAACCCCCAGGAGTCTAAGAATCAGTCATTGATGATGGTCAGAAATGGAGCACACTTTCTAGGAAAATCTGTAATGTGGTCTTCAGGACATTGTGGGAAACATGCACAGGGAAGAGAGATCCCGTCTGTTTGGCACGTGGACAAATTTTGGCAAGGAAAAGGTGCCTTTGGGTGAAGTGCAGAAAAGTTGCTGTTCTTTGTAGTGTGTGAAGCCTCAGTGTTTCCACCACTCTCCTCCTTCACTGGGTGCTGATTGTATGCAGTGGTCCTAAAAGTTACACTTGAAATAAGCTGTGGATTTCAGTTTTGAGTCCTTTAATGTGGTCACCTCCCTGACCAACAGAAGCTAATTGGTTCAGTTCAAAGTTCAGCTCCCCCTTGGCCTTCATGAGGGCCTTAGTAAACAAGGAGCTATATAGCAGGAGTACCTGGCTCTTGAGTAACTCCTCTGGGTGAGATTCTCTAGGTTGGCTCCAAACTTATTTGGCAGCTGTTGAACTTAAAATGCCAGGAAATGGGCCCTGGCCCCACATGGACTAATCTTTTTGTACAGTATTTTCTGAAACCTGAATATTTCTTTAAATAACTGAAATGATAGAGATTGCATTTGGAGAACAGGCTTCCTTAGCACTTGGCTATACATGGGGAGGGATAGGTGGAGTAAAGGCTTCCTCCAGCCCTGGGAACCTACACATAGCTGCACTACTTGCTCTGCACCTCACCTTGGTGGCATTCACTATTTTCTGTAATGCCCTGCATGTGCGTGGGTAGAAACCTTCAGCCACAGCAGCTTTCCCTGGCCGGGGCAGAGGAGAATCCTGTCAGTCTCAGCTCCTTCTTCTATCATTCATTTGTGGAAATCCACATCTCTTTTCTTTGTACAAGTGGTTAATATTCATTGTTTATGTTCTGAATCAGGTCGGGGGTAGTCTGGCCATGCTGTGGTAACAAGTATTCTCAAAATCTCATTGACTTCATATGATTTATTAAAATCTCAATGACTTCATTTGATTTATTTCTGCTTACTCTATCTGTCCTTTTGGGCTTGCTATTAACACTGTTCCTTTTCATCATTATTTTTATTCTGGATTCCTACCTGAGGAGCCAGTAGTCTTTAAAATCTTGCCAGTCATTGTAGCAGAGTGACAAAGAGGATATGCTGAAGCACATACTGACTTTTAAAGTTTCTGCTTGGAAGTAACACACATCTCTTCCATTCTTATTTCAAGGAGCAGAGTGTGTCATGTGGCCATCTCTAATTTCAGTCAAATATCCAGGAAGAGGAAAGACTGGAATATTTGCAAATAGTCATAGTGACTACCACCCTGTTTACTTTTCTTGCTGGCAAGGAATGCAGTAAGCAGTAACCCTAGTTAGTTTGCCCTCATTCCACAGTGGATTTGGGCTAATTTAAATTACGATGTTTCGCTGTTATACCATTTGTATTTTTGCTTCCAAAAAAAAGGAAAAGTAAGAAAAAATGAAAAGTTTACAAAAGCTACTTCATAAAATTCTAAACAGTTGTTAAACTTAAATATTTTACACATTTTCCTATTTTTATAAGTAGTTAAATTTATTTTGGTAGAAATTTCTATAATAGAAATCATGTAGTGATTTATATTTATTTTTTCATAATGTGAACCTCTTTATTCTAATTTTATTTATTTAAATTGTGGTAAAGTACACAAAAGTTTACATCTCATTTTTAAGTAAATAGTTCAGTATTAAGTACATTCATATTATTGTGGAATTCCAAATTTTGGTTGTATTTTTACAGTGCTTAAGAAAAAAAACTACATGAGTTGGAGTATCAAATTTAACTTGGTTTAACTCTAGAGTAAATTACTTCATTGTTTTGTATGATGGTTTTTTGTTTTGTAGGAAATTTTATTCTGAGTCATAACCTTTATCATTTCATTTCTCTTGCATAGCAGGAAACATTACCTCTCCCATTTACTCTGCAGATTATTGTAGCGTGGTGATTATGTGCAATTTGGTGGTGGCTGCTGAGTGTGTATTTGACAGCATATAGGATTGTGGTCAAGGCCAGGACAAATTTCACTTCTTATGTGTTCATAGTGAAATATCTGTTTCATCCATAAGGTGATTGTGATTTGAGAGATACCAGCTTACCAGTGTCCTTCTTTATTAGCAGCCAGCTAATTGTCTTTGCTTAGCTGTCACCTAATTGTCTCACAGACTATGTGGATTAAACAATGGAAATTTATTTTCCCATAGTTAGAGATCCTGGGTTGGATTTCTCTGAGACTTCTAGCCCATCTTGAAGATGGATGGGCATCTTCTTTTTGTCCTCTGAAGTGGTCTTCCCTCTGTGTGTGTTATGCTCTGATTTCCTTTTTGTGCAGACAGCTGATTATTGGACTTGGGCTCAGCTGTATGGCTTCATTTTACCCTAATCATCTTATGAAAGGCACCATCTCCAAACACAGTGACGTTCTTAGTTTTAAGTATTAGGACCTTAGCATATGAATTCGTGTGTGTGCACAGTTTAGCTGTAAACGGAAAGTAGGCTAAAATCAACCAGGATACAAGATAGAAAAAATTTTAAAAATCTGCAAATAGAAGAAAAAGTAAATGTTTTGAAAGCCAAAGAAAAACAAGATTTTACATTTTCTCTTTAACAATTACATGTGCTGATTGCCAGCTTAGGGATTTGTCTGTCATGCAATTTCTTCCACAGGAACTCATTTGCCAGTAGTAGTAGCTATAGTATTGAAATTCTCTGTGGCCCAAAAGGGACTAGTAGCAGCTGTGTGTCTTAAGAAACTTAGTGAGAAACTTGGAGGTGTGGGGTTTACTGCCCAGTCTCCTACTGTGATTTGAATTATGTTTCCCCCAAAAGATACCTTGACCTTATTTGGAAGTAAGATCTTTACAGATTTAATCAAGTTGATATGAGGTTATTTGGGTAGGCACTAATCCGACTGGTGTCCTTATAAGAGATGAAGAGACACAGCTGCACATGGGGGAAAACACGTGGAGGTAAGAGGTTTGAGCTGGGGATATAGCTCAGAAGCACAGCACCTGCGTGGCAAGTGCAAGGTCCTGAGTTTGATTCCTGGTACCAAAAAAAAAAGTTTGAGTAATGCATCTATAAGACAGGGAATGCCCAGGATAGCTTCAGTGCCAGAAACTTGTAAAGAGGCAAGTAACATTTTTATCAGTGCCTTCAGAGAGAACATGGTCCTGTGGACACCTTGATTTCCAACACAGCTTCCAGAATGGTGAGAAAATAAATTTCTCCAGTTTTCAGCCATACCGTTTGTGGTAATGCATTATGGCTGCCTTAGGAAACTAATATATATATTTTTTTTTTTTTTTGGTTTTCTGCTTGATATTGCTGAATCTTACTATTATGTGGTAGTAGGTTCAGATGTGTAAAGAAGTTACTTGACTGTGGTAGAAAAGGACTATTTGATAAGTAAAATTCTGACTGATAGTTGCATTATTGAGGTGTGTCATATGGCAAGTACTTTGTTCCTTTAAAATGCATTTAATTAGGAAGAGGTCATGGATTGATAAGCAGCTACAACTATCTTTTTTTTAATCATCATGAGATTATGAGATGAGTATTTACAACCATGTTAAATTTTTGCACAAGGTTTTTAAAATACCCATATAAAGGATTTTAAGACTGAGGACTAAGTTGTATATATAGATTTTCCCATTAAGTACCTAATTGTAATCTCTGATATTATTCCTCTTGCTCATAACTTTTTATTGTCTGTGAAACCATTTCACATGAATATTATTTATTCTCAAGGTTCAAGAAAAAAATCCACATTGGAATTTTATAGAATGCACTTTTTTCCCTTTTCTGTTAAATACCTAAATAGCTAAGTGTTGGTACTAATATCATAGATTTCTCTAATGACTTTTTAAAACTCTGTTCCTGATTTAGAGTTTATATGGCTGTTTCATTTGATGGTCAATGTATCTTTAATTTTAAGAAATAAGTGAAGAAAATATATGAAATATATTAATAGTCAAAATTTCATTATAATTTAAATTTATCAGTGGAACATTCATGTCTAAGGTACTGTCAAGAATAAAGGGCTGAGGCTATCGCCCAGTAGCACAGGCCTGCCTGGTAAGTGTGAGGTCCTGAGTTTCATTCCTCGTACCAAAAGAAAAAGAGAAGAAAACTATCTGATAAATGTAATCCATTCAGATACCAATATGGCAGTGGGAGATGTGGTGGTACTTACACTGTACTACAGAAATTGACTGCAACCCTAGCATAAGATATTTTTTAGTGTCATAAATAGTATAGAAACAATAACAAAAACATTATCAAATTATTGTTATTTGATTTGATTATAATATTAAATATAGTGCTTTGCATTTATATGAAGGTTATAATTTTCTCGGTATGCACATAAACAGTATAAAACTAAGATAGCTTATAGAAGAGATTTTGGCCCAGTACCAACCCTAAGAAAATCTACACAGGTCTTAGAAAGATTTTGAATTAATTCACTGCACATATTAAGTGAGGAGAAATTTAATCACAATATTGGAACAAATGAAAGATCTAGAATTAGAGTGTCTATGGTAATTACATCATATTGTTAGAATACTTTTCTTGAAAGCAGCTTAGTGAAAAAGTATACAAGCATTAGAAATGAGAGTGATTCGATGGGATGCAATTAAGGACTAGAATACAGGAGTAGAGGGTATATACTAATCTGAGCCTAATTCTGGTCTCCAAAGAGAGAGTTGATTATTGATATGGAAATGAATGAGTTGTCTTGGGAATTCTGCATATAAAGAACCATACATTCAGACAAAACTTAAAAAGAGAAAGAATA